CTCGTCAAGATTCCAAAGAAAGGAGATCTGAGCAAATGTGGAATCTACAGAGGCATAACACTACTGTCAATACCAGGGAAAGTCTTCAACAGAGTTTTGCTGAACCGGATGAAGGATACAGTAGACGCCCAACTTCGAGATCAACAAGCTGGATTCCGTAAGGATCGGACGTGCACAGACCAAATTGCAACACTACGGATCATCGTCGAACAATCAGTTGAGTGGAACTCGTCACTATACATCAAATTCATTGATTATGAAAAGGCATTTGACAGTGTAGATAGGAGAAAGTTATGGAAACTTCTTCGGCACTACGGAGTTCCTGAGAAGATTGTCAATATTATCCGGAACTCATACGACGGACTACAATGCAAGGTCGTGTATAGAGGACAGCTGACAGATGCATTCCAAGTAAGGACCGGGGTCAGACAAGGCTGTTTACTCTCTCCCTTCCTCTTTCTTCTGGTGGTCGACTGGATTATGAAGACCTCGACATCTGAAAGAAAACACGGAGTACAATGGACAGCTCAGAATCAATTAGACGATTTGGACTTCGCAGATGACCTAGCCCTCCTATCGCGTACACACGAACAGATGCAGATGAAGACAGCCAGTGTAGCTGCAGTCTCTGAATCAGTAGGCCTCAACATACACAAGGGGAAAGCCAAGGTCCTCAAATTCAACACGGAGAACAGCAATCCAATCACTCTTGATGGCGAAACTCTGGAATATGTAGAATCCTTCACATACCTGGGAAGCATCATCGATGAACAAGAAGGTTCAGATGCAGAAGCAAAGGCAAGGATTGGCAAAGCAAGGACCACATTCCTTCAGTTGGAAAACATATGGAACTCAAAACAACTGTCTATCAACCAATATCAAAGTGAGAATCTTCAATACGAACGTCAAGGCAGTTCTACTGTATGGAGCTGAAACTTGGAGGACTACTACAACCACCATCAAGAAGGTACAAGTATTTATGAATAGCTGTCTACGCAAGATACTCAACATCCATTGGCCGGATACCATCAGCAATAGCCTTTTGTGGGAGAGAACAAATCAGCTTCCAGCTGAAGAAGAAATGAGGAAAAGACGATGGAAATGGATAGAATATACACTACGCAAATCGTCAAACTGCATCACGAGACAAGCCCTAACTTGGAATCCTGAAGGAAGGCGGAAAAGAGGAAGGCCAAAGAACACATTACGTCGGGAAATAAAAGCAGATATGGAAAGGATGAATAACAACTGGAAGGAGCTGGAAAGGATTGTTTGGGACAGGGTTGGATGGCGAAGGTTGGTGAGCGGCCTATGTTCCTTCACGAGGAGTAACAGGCGTAAGTAAGTAAGTTAACCGGGTTGGTGGACACGGATAATCCACCTAGGCGAGTTGGAAAACCGTGATTCAAAACCAATGGTACACATGGGCTCCAGTATCCTAAAGGAACAAATGGTGTATGAACCAATCGTTGGTCACCGTCTATCATGGGACTGCATCTCCCTACCTTTCTCCACTGCCTTATGGATCAGACCTTCATGTAGAAGGCTCTGGGTGTACCCCCTAAGAAAACCACTTGCTTCGGTTCGGGCACCTGTGCAGTATCCCGGCCCACACACATATCGAGTGAGATTTGTGTGGCGTATATGTATTTGGTGCCTCCTTGGGCCAATATCTATGTGTTAAAATAAATAATAAATAAATGATTTCTAATATGATGTTATGTATTATTAATTGCACTAAAAACTCTGGATTAAAAAGATTATTCAATGGTAGAAAATTCCTATATACAATCAGGAAAAGAATACCTCTTAAGAAAAAATTATCCAAAGTTGAACAATTTTGTTAATATTAATATGCTACTGACATTGTGGTGTGTGCTACTGATATCGACAGATATAAGTAGTATGTATCATTAATCGAAAGTGAAATGCCTGGCAGCCCAAAGTTGAGAAGACCGAAGAAAAAAGAAAGAGAACAAAGAATGATTGGTGTGGAAACGAAGCAACAATCAATTCTGAGACCATTGATTTACATTTTGTAAATGAAGTATTTACTGTATAGTTCTCAGATTTGTATGTGTTGGGATCCAAAAGTGTTATTTGTGATTCAGATTTAACCAGTTTGAAATATTGTAAGACTGTCAAATTGTGGAATCCGTTTCATTCTTAATGTAGTTGGATACCATTTATCAGAACATATCACTTGGGTAATGGGAATTTCTCATTGATGAGTATGATATTATTAGTATGGGAGGATGGAAGAGACGATCCAACTTTGTCATTTTATTTCATCAGCAAGGTGAACTTATAATCTTGAGGAATTGATGTACTCCATGAAATTTGAACTAATGTCACTCTGTTTTATAGTCTGTAACATTACTAATGAGCTATTTTCTGTCTTACTAGAGGTCAATCAAAGCCCTGGAAGTTTAAGTAGTTTAAACATTAGTTTCCTTAAGATTGAAGTATGCCTTATTGCTGAATAGTAATTAGTATGAATCCGATATTATAAAGGGTTTCTTCATGACTATTCCCAGACACCTGATCTGAAAACATAGTGGGCTGAATGTCCAGTAACTTAGAGTAGTGGCATCAACTGCGACTTTTTTTATTTGAATCTGGTTAGTCTTATAGACCATTAAAAGGTGACTAATTGATGTATTTATTATTTACTTATTTCACTGGTTGAAATTATGAGTCAATTAAAGCTGGACCATCATGGAAAACCTGGAAACGCTGGACGGCCGCTTCCGCCTAGTATGGGACCCCTCAGCAGTGCGCATCCACCACCACGCCCCCCACGAGATTCGAACCCAGGACCTATCATTCTCGCGCGCGAGCGCTTAACTATTAGACCACTGGCTCGGCTGGCATTCAACGGTGTTAATGTCTAACTTCAACCAATCCATAAAGTTGCGCCACCGTACACCATTGTCTTCAGTGAGTTGATGTCTCACAATAGACCTGCTTGAACTGTATTGGCTGAGGATTCCCATACTAGGACGAAATGGCCGTCTAGTGCACCCAGGTATTCCATGGTGGTCTAGCTTTAATTAACTCATAATCTCAACTGCTAAAATTACTGTAATCTTCACAAAACCCTTTCTGACATTCATTTATTATCATACTATGTAATGAAACGTTTCTAAAAATTCACTTCACATCCGGTGACTAATTTTCTTTCTTTTTTGTTGTTTAGTTAGAAAACATTCATTAGATTATTTCTATCAGTCTTTAATGATCAATATTTCCAGAAAACTTAAATTTATTGCAAGGTTTAGGAAGATTTTTGAACTTAGTATTTTACATCATTGACTGATTATAGCTAAATAATCAATGGCCCCTAAATACCCTGGTACGGCCTAAGGTGGTGAGAATCAGCTCTCCTTCTCTGAATGCTCTCATATGACCAAGGAAGTCTTACTCAGTGCCTTCTTGTGGCAACGGTGTTGTTTATGAAATTGAGAGGACGAAAAGCGAATGTCCAGCCCATTAAGTGGTTCGGTGAACATGGATAGTCCACTTAGGCGAGTTGGAAAACCCTGATTCCAAACCAATGTTGTACATGGGCTCCAGTATCCTGAGGGTGCAAATGGTGTATGAACCAATTATTGGTTATCCGCTACCATGAAACTGTATCTCCTAACGTTGCTCTACTGTCTTATGAATTAGACCTTTAAATTGAAGGTCTAATCCTAGTGTGGCCTCCTAAAACAACCACCTGCTTTGGTTTGGTCACCTGAGCAGTAACATAGTCCACACACATGTATCCCGTACCCCTTTATAAGAATATTTATGTGTTCAAATAAATAAATAAATAAAGATAATCACTATAAACTAGAATGTACTAGACATGTGCTGTTTTTATTTCAAAGATCCCTTCGTAAAAAGTGCTTAACCATCAAATCACTGAATGAGTATTCAATAATTTATATTTCCAACGGTTATTCAATAATTTCTGGTTTTCACTGATTAAAGTCTCAATTTGAATTATTCTTTTTTTCTGATTAGCATTTTCTACGAGATACGGTCACTAACCTCCATGTCAAATCCTTCTCCTTTAACCGGTCTTGAAACCGGCTGTAACCACCGGGGAGGGGTAAGGAGTTCCAGGAGGCGTTAAATTCTTAGAATTTTAAGTACTTACTTCTTGACATCATTTCTTCTTTAAATTATTATTAATCTATTCATTTACCTTTATTCTCTTTAAACATAAAAACATACAATCAGTATTATATTGTAGATAGGGCATCATGAATGAGTATGTCTTATTATATGTCTGTCTATTCGACAATTTATTCACTTTCATAGAATCATCATCATCATCATTTTCTCACTTAGAATCAATCAATAACCATCTCTATGCAAAAACTGATCAACAAACATACAAACACACATACATACATACATACATACAAACACGCGTACATATATCTATGTAAGTATGTAAGTATGCATGTGTATCCCTTAGTAACAAAACCATTTCTGAAGATGATCATTACATTTTATAAAAGAGTTCTTTCAGCATTAAACTACCTACCTATACTTACCTACTTACTTACTTAGTTACTTACTTAGTTACATGTCATCTATAGTGAACTAAGAGATTGACTATAGTTTTAATCCATTATTCTAGTTCAAATGTATTCGAATTGTTGTCATGTATAGAACAAATTAAAGATTTAAACAGAATTCATTTGAAACAATTCAATATTCATGATAACAAAACAACAACAACAACAACAACAACAACATAATACTTTAAATGAATTAGGATATATTAAACGAAGACAGTTTATGTTGATGTAGAAAAATCTTTGTCATTATCACCTTCTTCATCATCAACATCTTCATCAGGATCAGGTTCATATGATGTGCCATTGACAACTTCATCAGTAACTTATTCAATATCTGGGCTATCAACGAATGATCATTCGCCTTCACCTTATCCTCCTCCTCCTCCTCCTCATCCTCCATCTTACCCTCCTCATCAAGTAATTATGATTAATTGTGAAAATTCATTAACAACTAAAAATAATTCACAATATCGTAAAGATTTTTTAAGAAAATTTCGATTCGACAATTCATCATGGTTATTTTCATGTAATAATCATAAATATAAAGAATGTTCTAAGAAGAAAATCACACTACAATTCACGGAACAATTACAAATAGAGGTAGGTATTCATTCTGTCTGTGTGTGTGTGTGTGGGGGGGGTTTTCCCGTTTCTTTTCTATTCAGGTTATTCATCATACTACTTTAAGTATTTCATCAACTAAGATGATTAGGTCACGGGTTATGTATGCCTGAACACTGATTATCATGATGTGTAATGTAAGACTAGTGTTGGGGATAATTAGAAGAAAGTTAGAGGCGGCCAAACCAAAACATGTCATTAATCATTGGAGTTAATAACTTCTAGTCTTAGCCATGTTGGTAGGTGCAGATTACTTGGTTGGGGTCCTCGCAACTATGATAACCAATGGTTGGAGACTCTGTGTGACATGGCTCAGAATCGATCACAATGGCGTCGGTGTATACACTCTCTGTCTTCCCTTAAACTGTGAGATTAAAATCGCTTGATATTTTTCTTTCTACGAACTAATTCCTCTTTCCTTATATGCAATCTTCCCTTTATATATTACACCACTGAGTTAAATGCTTCTATGAATCCGGTGTTCGTTATGTTATGCTAATGAGTAAGGTGTGGCAAGTTGGACCGATGCATATATGTGCCTGATCCTATGTTGTAATTGATTGACTTCAGGTATTAGCTTAATAGTGACAAGTTAAGAGACCTAATTTATTTCAAAATGATAACAGAAGATGAAGACTAGTAAAAAAGATCCATTATAGTTATAATCAGTTGAGTTAATCCGTTTGTCGATTTACAATTACGTTTGATTAAACCTATAAATATACAGGCTGAAGGTGCTTTTACATAGTTTGATAGTTACTATTATTATTCTCAATGAATAAAATGATAATCTATGGTTATATTTTGATGGAGTTTTGTCCTCTGAGCTGGATTCTTGTTTTGTGGAACTTTCATCGTTCTCCTGAACGACATCGTCAACAGAAACTTCAGGTAAAAGTTAAACCAGTAGGGGATATAACCAAAACAAAGAAGTAAACAATGACAGGTTTAAGGTTAACAAGAACTAATCAACATCAAGGTCTACAGGATAAGTTATGAGTCATATGTGAAGAAATTCGAACACTTCACTTCTACCTGAAATTTGTTTTAATGGTGTCGTACATACTCTGACAATCAATGGTTAATCAAGTTAATACTTCAAATTGTCTACTGAATAACATACATCATCTATTAGATAAAACTCCGCATGGAGTCCCTCCGGGGGCTACTGACGGACCCGAGCCTGGATAAAGGAGGAGGGTTGGGCATGGAGTGAGCGACCTCATCCCGCAGAAAACTAACTCGCTAAAAAAACGCTAACCAGAAAAACACAATTATTTATTCTATTAGATACCATATCAAATGATTGAACTGAATTGTAGTGAAACAATATCCAACACCTAATTCATTAAACCTACCATTACATGAATGCAATGCAATGCCTTTTTCTAATGAGTTCACATATTTCAACAAACTGTTGCGATGACAACTAATAATCAGCTAATATAAAACCACCGTAAAGAGTTGAATTACTTTCGATTGAATATTAAGTTTATTCACTTAAAAGTAATGTAATACTTAGAAAATCAATAAACTCTAACTAGAGTCAATTGAAGCTAAATCACCATGGAAAAACCTGAAAACATTGAACCGTCGTTTCGTCTTATTGCAGGACTCCTCAACAATGTGTATCCATGACCCCACCTCTCGGGATTCGAACCCAAGACCAATCAGTTTTGCTCACGCTTAACCACTAGACCACTTCCTCCTCTTTGAGTGTTATAAATGATTATCAACATAAATTGATTTTTATGGATACATATAACTGAGAACTTATTAATGTTTAGAATTTGTTTTAAATTAATCATTCAGAATAATCGATATTGTACTACCAGTTTACCAAATCACATCATTTTACACTTATTCTCATAATGATATACTTAATATAATTAGTATTTAGTAATTCCTAAATCGTTTGATTTGTGTAAGGGATGGGATGCTGCCCAGATGACCAAATCAAAACAGGTGGTTTTCTTAGGGGGCTACATCCGGAACCTTCTACCTAAAGGTCTGATTCACAAGGTAGTAAGGCATCGTAAGGACATGCAGTTCCATGGTAGTCGGTCACCAATAATTGGTTCATACACCATTTGTTTTCTTAGGATTCTGGAGTTTATATACACCATTGGCTTGGAATCAGGGTTTTTCAACTCCCCTAGGTGGATCTTCTATATCCACCTACCAGGTTAAAACATTGGACATTCACTTTTCATCCTGTCAATTTTATAAACAACACCGGTGCCACGCAATTCAATCACAATTGACGGAGAAGATTTGGAAGATGTAAAAACCTTTACATATTTGGGCAGCATCATTGATGAACAGTGTGGATCTGATGCAGATGTAGAGGCGTGGATCGGCAAAGCAAGAGCAGCATATTTACAACTGAGGAACATTTGGAACTCAAAGCAACTGTCAACCAACACCAAGGTCAGGATTTTCAATACAAATGTCAAAACAGTTCTACTGTATGGATAGGAAACCTGGAGAACAACGAAAGCCATCATCCAGAAAATACAGGTGTTTATTAACAGTTGTCTACGCGAAATACTTCACATCCGTTGGCTGGACACTATTAGCAACAACGTACTGTGGGAGAGAACAAACCAGATCCCAGCGGAGGAAGAAATCAAGAAGAAGTGCTGGAAGTGGATAGAACACACCTTGAGGAAAGCACCCAACTGCGTCACAAGACAAGCCCTCACATGGAATCCTCAAGGTCAAAGGGAAAGAGGAAGTACGACGAACACATTACGCCGGGAAATGGAAATAGACATGAGAAGAATGAACAAGAATTGGATGGAACTAGAAAAGAAGGCCCAGGACAGAGTGGGTTGGAGAATGCTGTTCGGCAGCCTATGCTCCATTGGGAGTAACAGGCGAGAAGGTAATGAGTAGGACTTCCCTGTCAGTGGTTGACACTTTTACTGAATCCGATATAACTATTATTTGTGATTATGAATTGAAACATAAGATGATTATGCAATTACATCATGAACCAATTCATTTCTTTATAAACTATGAATAACCTTCATATTTATTACTTCCTTTATCTCTTCAACTGAGAATTTTTCATTTAAATGGAACCTTTATTTCTTTCAAGAAATTATTCTCAAAAAGGTTATAAAAAGTTTAATGTTTTAAGTATAAATTATAATTTTAAGCAAAAATAGATAGTGGTTAGCAATGGAATCCAGGACGTGTGTTCCCGTCCTATTTGGGACTCGTCAGCTGGATGTACCTGCATCTAAGAGTTGATATTCATTCTGACACTCTAATCTAGTACCGTTTGATTTCAAACTTTATCATGTTATCCAATTAGTTACTGAGTCCTGATAGACACTTGCTTATGGAATTGGGTGAATTAAAGCAATATCCAGGTAATACACACAGTATACACAAATGTCAATAACAGATTGATCAATTGTAGTGTTAAGTATCCATGGGAAGATTCATGTAAAACAATGTCAAGTGAATATAAATTATAATTTCTTCATTTTATTCTGATGGAAAATGTTTACAAAGTAGGAGTAACAAAGTATTGTATATGAAAAGAGTATATGTTTTATTCAATTCATTTATTAGTATGGGATTGTAGAGATTGTCAAGTTTTTGATTGAGATCGTGAATTGATTTATGTTAGACCATTATTGAAAACTTGGAAACACTAGGCAGCCTCCTCGTCCTAGTATGAGACTACTTAGCAGTGGTTATTCACAATCCCGCAAGCGAGATTCGTACCCAGGATCGTCGATCTCGAACCATTAACTTCTAAACCACTGAGTCAGCATCCGACAGTGTTAATGTCTAACTTTTATTGATCTATGAATAGCTGCACAGCCATTCATCTATTGTCTAAGGTAAATACCTATCTTTACCCGACACGGATTGAACTCTACCAAACACATCTGAAGAGTCCCAAGCTAGGACGAAATGGCCGTCCGGGGCTTTCAGATTTTGAATGGTGGTTTAACATCAATCCATGCATGATCTCAATCAACGAATTTACTTTAAAATTTCCATATATACAATAATTGTTCTTCTGCATAGATAATTGTATGTGAGATAATATTTTAGCGACCAAGCGTTTTTCTGATTAACATAAAGGTGGATGGATTAAGGTTTATACTGTATTAGTGTTTCAGATTAGGGAGAAATGGTTTTCTAATACTCTCTGATGGTGTTACTCAAATGAGATTAATCTTTAATAAAGATTATTCATGAATTATTGATTTAAGGTTGATTGTCATCATGGTTCTAATTAAGATAAGATAATACTAAACGATTGTTTTGTCATCATAACAATACTCATCAACAATTTCGTCAGGAATAGAATGTGAATGACTTTCAGGTTTCATAATACTTTAGAAACTATAAATACACAATAAGTGGTAGATATCATAGATTAGTTCAGTTTTCGTTTATATTACAAGCTTTGTTTTCAACTGATGATATTCCATGATGATCGTCTGATAAGTTCGATAAATAGTTAACTAATTTACAATGTGATTAAACTATAGTAGTCAAGATCCCCTCCCAGAAAATCAATTATACATTTTAAAGCCAATCAATAATATGTACGTGATCACTACAGACGTAAAGTAGGGTTTGTAGAGGCATATGTAACACATGTCCCAGTCATCTCAACTGATGAAGTTTCACTAATTCATCAATTGATTTGCCATCCTTATCTAATACTCGTTTCCGAACAACTACATTACTTACTCGATGGTCTCAGGATATACGAGCAATATTTCGAAGACACCTATGATCAAATACGAGTAACCTACGGATATCCTCTACTCTTACCGGCCATGTTTCACTGCCTCAAAATAGGACGGAACGAACTGTTGTGCAGTAAACGCGTCCTTTCGTTGGTAGACAGATATCTCGCCTACGCCATAAATGACGCAAGTTGGCAAAAGCTAGTCGAGCCTTCTGTATCCGTACTGAGATTTCGTCACACACTAGTCCACAATGGCTGATGAGACTTGCAAGATAAGTGAAGCGATCGACACGCTCAACTACTTCACTCCCTATCGTTAGTTCGAGTGTCGATGCAACCCAATCGTGAAGTAACATTTTTCATTTCGAAGGAGAGAATCGCATGTCGAACATGCTTGCATTGTTGCTTATAGTGATCGGAAGACTCTGCATTTTGTCAGCGTCTTCACCAAATAGAACTATGTCATCGGCATATTCTAAGTCAACAAGTGGATACTGATATCAACTGGATAAGCAATATATGCCAAATGGTACTGGATAGTTGTTTCATCGCGTTTTTAAGCACTTCAGTAGTGTGCCTTATAGTGTTAATCTGATGAATTTATATCTATAGGATTCTGAATTCTAAAGTATCAAGTATGAGAACGGTAATTTATCACTTTGACTTCTTGTGGACTCATGGCATTGTACTTCTGAAAAGTTCCAGTCAAGAACAAATACAACTATTCGTTGATTTTCAAGCTGATGTTAGTCCGCAACAAATACTATTAGTAATCCAAAATAACTTCTATAAAACTACTTTACAAATAGATTTATTGATTTCCTATGAAGTATGGTGATATGGTTATTCATTTTTCAAGTCACTGTCTGTTAATTAACAAATAAGAATGAGTGAATTAATATGTTTCTATGGAACAATTAGTTTGCAATTGGTTGGAGTTAGACATTAACACCGTTGGATGCCGACCGGCCGGCTCAGTGGTCTAGAGGTTAAGCGTTCATGCACAAGACTGACAGGTCCTGGGTTCGAGTCTCATGAGGTGGGATCGTGGATGTGCACTGCTGAGGTGTCCCATACTAGGACGAAACGGACATCCAGTGCATCCAGGTTTTCGATGTTGGTCTAGCTTCAATTGGCTCATGATTTCAACTATTGAAATGACTAAAATCTCTACAAAACCCCTTCTGATAACTTATTTATTGTTTAAACTTTGTTCATTTCTATCTTCTTAGGCAACAGACTGTTATTTTACAAGATTCTAATCTTTTGTATTTTAATATATGATTATCAAGGTATAACTCACTTCATCATTTGTTGATTTGGCACCATTCAAACTAATAAATAATTAGATAAGTTCATTTCAACCGTTATTAAAATGTTGACCTGAATTATTTTGCCACCTAACAGCAGTCTCAATTCAACTATGTCCTGGACAAACCTATCCAGTTGTTTCCAGCTGCTATTTATTCTTTTGATATCTGCCTTTAATTCCCTGTACACTGTAGGTTTTGGTCTTTCTCTTTTCTGTTTCCCTTCAGGATTGCAAGTAAGTCCTTGCCTCGTGATGCAGTTTGATGATTTCCTCAATGTATGTCCTATCCAGTTACATCATATTTTTCTAATTTCCTCTTCAACTGGATGCTAGTTTTTTCTCTCCCATAGTAGGTTGTTACTGATGGTATCCGGCCAACGAATATTGAGTATCTTGCTTAGACAATTGTTAGTGAATACTTCGTGAGCACAATACATTTATTTCACTAATTTTGAATCAAACGATTTGACAGTTCATACTTGTATTCATTTTAAAGTTCAACATTCAAAACTCTCGAATTTTCTAGCTAGATCAGTCCACAACAAAAACTGTCTTCAAAAACAACTTAATGTCAAAAAACCGTCAATCTATGCAAGATAATATTATTGAAATTATGAACCGATCCAAGTCAGATCACCATTGAAAACGTGGAAGTAGTGGACGACCGTCCCATTGTAGTGTAGGACTCTTCACCAGTGGACACTCACGACCCCGGATATGAGAATCCTACCCAGGATCTTCAGTCTGAAATAAAGTTGAACAAGCTCCACAATCTTACAGTGTCCATTGTCATATACTCACTAGCGACTAGTTCCGAAAAGAAATTTTCGAATTTGCAGTAAAGTTTAGCTGTGTGTTGTATGAGGCAGTTACTCACCGAAGACAATAAAGTCGATAGCGTAATACCGTAGATTGATTCGAATCAGACTTGTGGACCATTGAAATCTAATTCAGTGGTCTAGAGGTTAAGCGTCTTTGTGCGAATCCGAGTTTTCTAACTTTGATTATTTGTTGATGAGGCCGTCGATCTGCATTACTGATGAGTTCCATATTAAGACTTAATTTCCATCTTATGCTTTCACGTTTTTAATGATTGTCTAACTATGATCAATTCATGATTTCAATGAAATTCGATAACCGCCATAATGATCTCTTAGTGTAGTAAACATTTTTACAATGAATATAAAAAGCTATCATCTAAAAGATATAAGTGTTTATTAACAGTTGTCGACGCAAAATATCTCACATACATTTACCCAGACAACTCCGCCTGGAGTCCCTCCGGGGGCTACTGTCGGTCCCAAGCCCGGATAAAGGAGGAGAGTTGAGCATGGGGTTAGCGACCCCATCCCGTAAAAAAATAACTCGCTAAAAAAACGCTAACCAGAAAAAATTACTGAAACCTTTTAAACTCTGCCTTGGGAGTCAGAAGGTCTTCATTTAGAAGAACTATGACACATCATGATGAAAGCCGAATTCCTTCAGAAGTTACGAGGCCGATGCCCCTTCTGACAACCAGAGCAACCATTTATTTAGGTACATGGAATGTTCGTACAATGTGGGACACCGGGAGAGCCTTCCAAATTGCTGCAGAAATGAGGAGTTACATTTAACCAGACACTATCAACAACAACCTACTACTGTGGGAGAGAACAAACCAATTTCCAGTGGAGGAAGAAATCAAGAAGAATCACTGAAAGTGGATAGGACACACATTGAGGAAAACATCCAAGTCCGTCACAAGGAAAGCTCTCATCACTTGGAATCTTCAGGGTCAAAGGAGGAGAAGGGGAAGATAAAAGAAATGGAGACAGACATAAGAAGAATGAACATGAATTGGATAGAAGTAAAAAGGAAGACCGAGGACAGAGAGTGTATTTGAGAATGCTGGTCAACGACCTAGACACTATTGAGGGTAACAGGCGTGAGTGAGTGAGTGAGTAAGTAAGTAAGTAAGTCTAGTTAACATGTACTTCAGGTAGATATATACATTTCTATATTCACTTTATTTTGTTTTGTTTCTTCTTTTTTTTATTACAGTCTACATTGAACTTATTAGATAACATTGATCCCGATCAACTATACTGTATCCTAACTGAAGTGATTCATCAATTATTCAATACAAGTGTAAGAACTATTGATTGTAACATAACTTTATGAAATACACTTTCATTGAATTGTAACCCAAAAATGAAGGAATGTTCAATGGAATATTTCAATTTCTTCAGTATTATTATTATTATTATTATTATTATTATTATTATTATTATTATTATTATTATTATTATTATTATTATTATTATTATTATTATTATTATTACAGACTAAACAAACTTAAGAGGTCAACAGACTAAGATTATTCAATCATTCAATGTTTTTTGGTTTTTGTTTATGAGGGTGTTTATAATCAAAATAGTTTCTCAATGTAATCACTGATTACTATTGCGGTGTGTACTACAGATATCGACAAATATAAGTAGTATGTATCATTAATATGTAAAGGCGCGGATCGGCAAAGCAAGAGCAACATATTTACAACTGAGGAACATCCGGAACTCAAAGCAACTGTCGACCAACACCAAGGTCAGGATTTTCAATACAAATGTCAAGACAATTCTACTGTATGGGGCAGAAACCTGGAGAACTACGAAAGCCATCATCCAGAAAATACAGGTGTTTATTAACAGTTGTCTACGCAAAATACTTCAAATCCATTGGCCGGACACTATTAGCAACAACGTACTGTAGGAGAGAACAAACCAGATCCCAGTGGAGGAAGAAATCAGGAAGAAGTGCTGAAAGTGGATAGGACACACATTGAGGAAAGCACCCAGCTGTGTCACGAGGCAAGCCCTCACATGGAATCCTGAAGGTCAAAGGAAAAGAGGAAGACCAAAGAACACATTACGCCGAGAAATGGAGATAAACATGAGAAAATGGAACGAGAATTGGATGGAACTAGAGAAGAAGGCCCAGGACAGAGTGGGTTGGAGAATGCTGTTCGGCGGCCTATGCTCCATTGGGAGTAACAGGTGTAAGTAAGTAAGTATGTATGTATGTATCATTAATAATTGAAAATGAAATACCTGGTGATAAATGATGATGATGAAGATCAAGGAGAAAAGAAAGAGAACAAAGAAGGATTGATGTGGAAATGTAAGATCAATAAAGTCTAAGACGATTGATTAAGATTTTAAAGGTGAAGTATTTACTGTATGGATCTTAGATGTTCTGTAAACTATTCGATTATCCCCATTTATGTTCTTGTTCATTATGTTATATTCGAAATGGATAATCTCAAAATGTATGATGGAAATTTATGACCATTATTCATTTACCCATTCAAACTTCTAAATTGTAATTGAAGGTCTTCAATTCAATTTAAATTCAATGTTGTATATGATAAAGCTAAACGGTTTGGTGAAAAATTGAGCGAGTTTCAATATAACTACAATGATGAGTTAAATATTTCTATGGTCTTCTCATTAAAGGAACTTTGATAAAGCACAATTTCAAATAAGTCAATCTTCTGAACGTTTAAACAAGCTAAGAAACTTGTTATACTTCTAATTTCATATGACTATTTCATTTGATAGTATGAATTTTCTCTCACATAGATAATAATGTTTCTATCATAAGTTCCGATTATAAATCTCCACAGTATTAAAAATACTCCACTGCTATTACTTACTTATTATGCCTGCTATCCCCCTCCCCCCCAGTGGAGCATAGGTCGTCGACCAGTATTCTACAACACTCTGTCGTCGGCCTTCCTATCCAGTTCTATTCAATTCTTCTTCATTCTTCTCATGTCTGTCTCCATTTATCGACGTAATGTGTTTTTCGTAATTCCTCTTCTCCTCCTTTGGCCTTGAGGATTCTATGTGAGGGCTTGTCTTATGATGATGCAGTTGGGTGCTTTTCTCATTGTGTGTCCTATCCACTTGCAGCACTTCTTCCTGATTTCTTCGTCCGCTAGGATCTAATTTGTTCTTTTCCACAGTAGGTTGTTGCTCATAGTGTCTGGGTAAACGAATCCGAAGTATTTTCTGTAGCCAATTGTTAATAAACACTTGTATCTTCTGGATGATGAATTTTGTAGTTCTCCATTTTCCCGCCCCATACAGTAGAACTGTCTTGTCATTTGTATTAAAAATTCTGAATTTGTTGTTGGTTGACAGTTGTTTTGAGTTCCACATGTTCTTCAGTTGTAGATATGCTGCTGCACGCCTTCACATATAACTCAACTGCTATTACTACACGTAAATTTTCCAGTACAGCTATATTGGTTTCTATGATTCCTTGAGTAACATGTAAGAGTTAACTTACAATCAGTCAACAATGAATAGCTTCTTTTCGTTATTGTCTTTAAACTTTTTTAGAATTACTACTTGTCTTTTACTAAGTAATCCATAATCCTACCAATTTGTCATCATTATATTATCTTTGAATGTGATTAGTATCTAATTGATAATCAGTATTCTTCTCTCAGTTATATGTTGTAACCTTGACTTACTTACTTACTAACGCCTGTTACTCCTCGTGGAGGAGCATAAGTCGACCATTAGCACTCGCCATCCAATTCTGTCCTGTAACCTTGAAGTCATCTTTTATTAACATGTCTAATTTGACCCATACTTTAATCTTATCTATATCAGTTTATGATGAATAACCCTTTTAGATTTTGTTCAATATCAATAAAGTAATCATATTAGGTAAAGATTAGATGAAGATAGAAATAAACCGATTATGATAACAACCAGTGATTTATAATCGAAATAATCAAGATTATATGTATTATCTGGTTTGGCATAAATCTCATTCATGAGACCAATCTGTAGATTAGTTTATCTGGAACATTTTACTATTATCTGTAAAATATCACATCATTTTACTATTATTATGTGATTGGTTAATTGTAAGATTAAAACTACTTTTCACAATTGAAAACATGAGTCGATTTAAGGCAGGATACTATTGAAAACTTGAAAGCGGTGAATGGCAGTTTCATTCTAGTATGGGACTCCTCAACAATGCACATTCATGATCTCTGACGTGGAACTCAAACCTAGGACCTTTGAATTTGCGCGAGAATCTTTAACTTCTAGACCACTGAAATAGCACTCAGTCAATCCACAACCTTGTGCAACCCTTCATATATTGACTGTAGTGAACGACTGTCTCACACTCAAAATGAATTGCATTCTCTAGCAATCTAGTGCTTTCAAGTTTTCAATGGCGGTTTTGCTTAGATCGACTTGTGATTTCAATTATGAAAATGCTACAGTCTCTACAAGTCCTCCATACTCTATAAAGTAAATTGTTTTTAAAGAAACGGAATAATATCTTTTCTATGGCTTCACAACCACAGAAACATTTGATGATTGTTCCATTTCTATTTTAACTGTAGTTTAGGTAAACGTATAATATACCGATGATCTTGAGCTACTTATCAGCCATTTCAGAAACCTTGTCTAGTTACAAAAGTATGAACACCAACAAAGCAATATAATAACAATGGAATAATAGTTTTGATCTGAATAATCAACACTTACATGCTGAATTATACTTTGTAGTAAAAGTAAAAAGTTAATTTAGCAGATTAGGATTTAGGTTAGTGTTGTGAGTTACGATGATCAACCCATAGTTTTCCTCAACAACTAATGCTAATGATAATACAAGAGGGTTAGCGTTAGATATCAACAATTAAGCTGAAATTATAAGATTGATTTACAATATGAGTGTCAACGGTTTCATTACGAACTGATATCCCCTATAATGCCGTTCTTTGTCACCCTTCTTTTTACAAACCTATGAAACTCTAGGTTGGGATTAAAATCAAGGATTAGAATGGGAGAATACTATCTATTTTAATAGACATTCTGACTTAAGAAAAGGTACGTTTTTTATTCAGCTCAAGAAACATCTTGGATTCAATTTCTCATTGCATATTGTTAGTATATTATACTTTTTACTGTAGTTTAATATTTAATTCATTTTTGATTGAGATCATGAACCGATTGATGTGAGACCACCATTGAAAACCTGGAAGCATTGGACGGCTGTTTCGTCTTATTATCTCCAGTGGAGCTAATCCGTAGAGACAGGTATCTACTTCAGTACAATGGAAGATGATCGAGCAATGTCGTGGATTGGTTGAGGTTAAAAATTAACATTGTTGAATGTCGGTTCAGTGGTCTAGATGTTAAGCGTTTGCGCGCGAGACCAAAGGCCCTGGGTTAGAATTCCGCAAGCTGGATCGTGGATGTGCACTGTTGAGGTGTCCTACAATAGGACAAGTTGGCCGTCCAGTGCTTCCAGGTTTTCAGCGTTGATCTTTCAATCAAATAGCGATTAATCTCCACAATCCCATATTGTTCATTCATTTTGTTTGTCTCTGATCATTTTTCAGCGTTTTGTATCTATTCAACAACTGGATTCATCAAAGTTGGAATTAATAAATAATATTGGAACTTTCACAATTGATCATTCATTAATTTTAAAGCATCGAAATGAATGGAAAACACATTCTACAGGAAAATCTAGTACAAAATCTATTCATAATAAAACACATAATTGTATTGTATTCAACTTTAGTAATGAGGCAATATCATATGGTAATAAGTAAGTATATATTTATTTGTTTATTTAATTTGAAGATGGTGATTAATGGATAAAACTCCGCTTGGAGCCCTCTGGGGCTGTTGTCGTTCCTAAGCCCAGATAAAGAAAGAGGATTGAGAAAGGGGTTAGCGATTACATACCGTAAAAAACCAAGTAGGTAAAAAACACTAACCAGAAAAAATAATTCGAAATATTTAAACTCTGCCCTGGGAGTTAGAAAATCTTCATTTAGAAGAGCTGTGACGTCTCATGATGAATAACGAGGTTCTTCGAGAATCACGAGGCTGATGCCCCTTCTGACAACTAGAGCAACCATTACTTTAGGTAAATTGATCAGTGGACTATAAATTTTGATCCAGTATTGATTGGAAAGTGTTGAAGAGATAAATATCTTCTAGCCATTGGAAGAAGTATATAAAAATGATAATAAATAGTGCTTAGAATCTATTAATTAGAAGTAAAATTTCATTAAGCTAAGTTAAACACTTATTAAGCACAACGAAGTAAAGCACTCAATAGCGTATCTTTAACATCGTAAAACGAATGTTTTACACAAGTAGATCTGTATAAATTCTAATCACGTATCCGGGAAGCATCATCAATAAACAAGGAGGATCTGATTCAGACGGAAAGGTGATGATTGAAAAAACGAGGGCCATATTTCTACAATTCAACAACATATGAAAATCAAAACAATTGTCAACCAACACCAAAGTCAGAATTTTCAATACAAACGTCAAGATAGTTCTATTGTATGGAGCTGAAACCTGCATATCAACTACTACAAACATCATCAAGAAGGTGCAAGTATTTATAAATAGTTGTCTACGCAACATACTCAGCATCCACTGGTAGGAAACCATCAGCAACAAAAGTTTGTGGGAGACAACAAATCAGCTTCCAGCTGAGGAGGAAATTAGGAGAAGACGATGAACAGGACATACATTGAGGAAATTATCAAACTACATTACAAGACAAGCACTAACTTAGAATCCTGAAGGGAAACACAAAAGAGGAAAGCTGATGAACACACTGAGTCAGGAATTGGAAGCAGATATGAAAAGAATGAATAACAACTGGGAAGTCAGTCAGTCAGTAACAACGTAGAACTTCGTACGTACGTACATCAGTTCGAGTTGCCACACCACACTAGCAAGAGATTCAATTGTCGATTCAAATCCCGTAGTGGTAGAGGCGGTAAGAGTATAAGCAGTAGTCAGGAAGATTAGGGTTTAAAGATGTTATTCAAAGAGTATAATCCAGTGAAATAAATTTGGAAGGAGGAAAAGAAAAAGGACATGAAGAGTTCAGAAAATTAGAATTTGGGAGAACACAAAGAGTGGATGCACCTGCTCCATTGCAAACGATTTTGAGCCATGTCATTCAGGGTCTCTAAACATCGGTTGCTATCATCTCACAGTCCCCAACCAGGTGGTCTACAACTACCAATATGGCTCAGTCCACTTGTCAGTGACTTCATGGACTTGTGCCATGTTTTGGTCTGGCCTCCACTAGCCTTCTTCCAACCTGCTCCTACACCATAAAACATCGCACGTCGAGGCAGTCGGTGGTTGGGCATATGTAACACATGTCCCAGTCATCTCAACTGATGAAGTTTCACTAATTCATCAATTGATTTGCCATCCTTATCTAATACCCGTTTCCGAACAACTACATAACTTAATCAATGGTCTCAGGATATACGAGCAATATTTCGAAGACACCTATGATCAAATACGAGTAACCTACGAATATCCTCTAATCTTACCGGCCATGTTTCACTGCCTCAAAATAGGACGGAACGAACTGTTGTGCAGTAAACGCGTCCTTTCGTTGGTAGACAAATATCTCGCCTACGCCATAAATGGCGCAAGTTGGTAAAAGCTAGTCGAGCCTTCTGTATCCGTACTGAGATTTCGTCACACACTAGTCCACAATGGCTGATGAGACTTGCAAGATAAGTGAAGCGATCGACACGCTCAACTACTTCACTCCCTATCGTTAGTTCGAGTGTCGATGCAACCCAATCGTGAAGTAACATTTTTCATTTCGAGGGAGAGAATCGCATGTCGAACATGCTTGCATTGTTGCTTATAGTGATCATAAGACTCTGCATTTTGTCAGCGTCTTCACCAAATAGAACTATGTCATCGGCATATTAACTGTCAACTGGAAAGAACTACTTGAGACAGGGTTGAATAGAGAGTGCTAGTGAGCGGTCTATACTCCTCAATGAAGAGTAACTGACGTAATTAATTAATAATATGCATGGATTATCCATGTGTTGTAGAATGAATGTCATAAGAGAACATTCATGAATTTGTAATGTATTACTTTCTTTAAAATGTGAATAAAGAATTGACTAATCGTTATTGTTATTTATTTGGTTATAGTGTGAAAAGTTTTGTAGTCAAGGTAAATCATATCAAAAATACACAATTACGTAATTTATTATTACTCAATAAAGATACAATTAAAAAAGAAAACTATGGTAAGTAAAAAAATGTATTATTGAATAGTTAATGTTTTTTGATTATTTCTAAATGTAATACTTCAATAGGACTGATTATTGTATATCCCGATCGTTGTCGCTACTTTGACGTGATGGTCGGGCTTGCCTATCGTGATGACCCAACCGAGCTATACTGGCTGGAACAACCGTTCCTCAAGGTCCTACCATGTCATGCAGGTCGGTTGTACAGCGGTAAGACTAAAAGCAACAAACTCAAGGTCCGAAGGCGAAGTCGTACTGCTGAGTGTACAGAGGTGTGACAACAGTAAGGTGTTTCCTTCAGACAACCAGCATAACAGCGATACTGACTTCCCACAAGGATGAGTGGGGTTAGAAAAGGTCGACCCTAAAAACGCACACCTCACCTTATCCCACGGATATCCGTCTCCAGCGGTAAGGTCTAGACAAGTACGGAGCTAATACAAAAATTACTCATAAAATGGTCGTGTGTGACCAACCTCAAGCAGTTGTCCGTTGAGCACTGCAGTCACGCTCTCAGGTCACTAAGACCACCTCTAATCCAATTTCCTTTTCAGGTACCTCCTCCTCTTCCTCCCCTGACTATTATTATATATGTGATTACGTAATGTATTACAAGAGATTATATCCTTTATAAGTAGTATGTTTGTTATATATCAAGAATGATACTTTGATCACTAATAAAATTGAAGGATAATCAATCTATATATCGCAAATTGATTAAAGTTGAAAATGTAAAATCAATAATTTCAAGTTCAATCAGTCACTACTAAACTTAAAAGTCAAAGATTTAATCCTTGAAAGGTTCATGAGTGAATATTTTATTTATTTAAACACACAACCATTGGTACAAGGAGGCACCAAATACATATGCGCCACATAAACCATTCGATTTGTGTGAGGGCTATGATACTGCCCGGATGCCGAGACCGAAGCAAGTGGTTTTCTTAGGGGACCACACCCCGAGCTTTTGACCTTAAGGTCTGACCCACAAGGCAATAGAGCGTCGTGAGGAGAGGCAGTCCCATGGTAGCCGGTGACCAACGATTGGTTCACACATCATTTGTTCCCTCAGGATACTGGAGCTCATGTGTACCATTGATTTGGAATCCGGTTAAAGCGTCGGACATTCGCTTTTCGTCCTCTCATTTTCGTAAACAACGCCGGTGGCGCGAGAAGGCAGCGAGTAGGACTTCCCTGGCAGAGGTTGTATACGCGCGGCCGTGTGAGAGTATTTTGAGAGGGAGGGCGAACACACCCCGCTCTCAGCCATACCATAGCATTTAGAGGCTGAGTGAATATTACTGAGAAGAAACCATCTATTCAATACCATTTGATTAACAATGATTCTGTTAACAAAATAGTAATAATAACAAAACTTATTTTTATTACAAGTTCCAAAGTATCCTATTTTGATTGGTACAGCTGTTCTTTCTCATAGTCATAAGAAATGTTTGAATGATTGAAACTCAGTTTAAGGTTTGAATAATTTTTTTCTGGTTAGCGTTTTTTAGCGGGTTAGTTTTCTACAGGATGAGGACGCTAATCCCATGCCCAACCCTCCTCCTTTATCCGGGCTTGAGACCGACAGTAGCCCCCGGAGGGACTCCAGGCGGAGCTAAAGCTCAGTTTACAGCCTGATTATTATTATTATTATTATTATTAAAATCTCTGTAATATGATCTTATATTCCTGAATTTAAACATTTCTACTCATATTATCACTTATCAATGATTCATTTTGATAAGTCTTGCAAACTGAACGCTGTATTCGTCTCCTAAGCTATTCTATAACCCCCAAGCTAGAACTGTACAGCGACCTGAACAACGAGAGAGAAGACGCAAAGTATGCGAGAAGTACTTTACTCCAAGGTTCATTTTAATACAGAAAATACAGGGTTTTTATAATATTTTGAATGTCCTTGGGTTGCTAGAAGATTCTGGAATGCTACTAAACATAGTAGCAATGTAGCAATCAGCGAATTAGAACCTCTACATGTGACGTTTCGCTTCCTTGATATTTTTGGCTAAAACTTCAAATGAACGCTGATTAGATGAAATGCTTCTTAGTCTTTCCTGATGCTTGATTGTCTTTTGCAAGAAATTTTCTGGATCACTCCAAGTATAACATAAATGGTTGCGTCGATCTTGTCTGAAGTCACAAGCATTATAAGCAGTGATCGATGGTGGCTAGTAGCACAAACCAGGATACGTGTTTTGTCTTATTTTTGACTCATCAGCTGAATATACCTGATTTAAACTTCATCCCATTGCACAAGCTAGTAGCTAATTAGATAATACAATGGCATTTGAAGTGAATAGTAATCGATTCGAATTCTACCCAAGAGATGTAAGTACATCCAGCTGATGAGTCTCAAATAGGACGAAACATGCATCCTGGATTCCACTACTAGTCACTATTCATCTTTGCTTATAAATGACATATAGTTATATGTATTAATTATCCATTTAACTAATGTTCATACTGATCATTATAGTAGAAGTACCATTGTCATTATACACAATGAAATATGTATGTTTTCATTTAACTTATTAGATACTACATATAGAAATACGTGATTTCACTAAACGTTTATGATGAAATACAAATGTAAGAGATTGTAATGGATCAGAAGGAATTGAGCTATTCATTCGAAAAGTTATTTCAATGGATCATATAGATTAATCCTGATTAGCTTTAAATCATATCACAACTTGCTAAAGTGATCTCTTTATTCTCTCATTGTATCATTCACTGAAATATCATTTGTATCTAATCATTTAGAGTTTAATCTTATTTAAATAGAATGTCATTAAATGATAGATGATGATTGATATTATGAATGGATGAATGTTAGACTACTATTGAAAGCCTGGAAGTGTTGGAATGATCGTTTCGTCTTAGTATAGGACTCTTCGGCTGCTGAGGAGTTGTTTGAACAGTTTATTCAAAGGTTCACAATCAATAATACAAATGACACTTACATTCTTTATAAAGATAGTACAGAATAAATAAAAGTTCATGGATGGTTTTATGGAATACAATCTAACTATCCATTTCACAAGTGTAGAAAATATTACATTGTTTTCTTAACTAAATATTTCATGTAAAATAGGCATTTCTAAGTAATTAATGTTGGGGATACTTAGTATATTCTTTAGAAAAAGCTCAAAGAGACACTAAAAACTCTGAGAAACATTTCATCCAATCAGCATTGAATTGAAATGTCTCAGAAACATCTAGAAAGTGAAGAGTCATGTGTCATTATTAACTATCCTTCTACTGTGTTCAGTAAGGTTACAGAACCTTCCAGATCTTTAGGGCCATCTGAAATGTTATGATAAGCCTCAATTTTGTGTGCATAAACTAACCTTAGAGTAAAGTGTTTAGATTGATATCATGAATGGGTGAATGTTACAAGAACATTAAAAACCTGGAAGCACTGGATGGCCATTTCGCCCTAGTATGGGATAGCATGAAGTAGTCGCTCACTGAAGACAATGGTGGATGATCGCGCAATATCGTAGATTGGTTGAAGTAAGACATTAACACTGTTGAGTACCAGCCAGTTCAGTGGTTTAATGATTAAGCACTCACGCGCGAGACTGATATGTCCTGGTTTCGAATCTCTTGAGGTGGGATTGTGGATGCGCCCTGTTGAGGAGTCCCACAATAGGACGAGTTGGCCGTCCAGTGCTTCCAGGTATTCCATAATGGTCTAACATCAATCGATTCATGATCTTAACTATTCTTTTAATGTTAATCTTTCATCGCAAGAAATATTCTTGTCATATATTCAATCGTACATAACTAATGTACAATTTATGAATAGGGAAATATGTATTTTGACTTGTTCAAAGGAAACTGGATTATGTTTATAGAATGAAATGAAATGAACAATTAAGGAAATGAAAATCATGTTCTTTTCCTCTTTTATTAAATATCGACATGTTCACAAGAATATTATACGACAAAATTGAATTCTGTTCACTCAATGGAAGGTAAAAGTCCTTGTGTAGATTTTTTTCTACTAATTAGTTAATTGCCAAAAACAAATTCGCTTTGACGATCTCATTTCTCACTGACTGATGACCACATCAAATGTTAACCACTATCCATCTTTACATATAATGCTTGTGAATTAAGACTATATCAAGGCAATCCACACAGTATGCACATATATCAATAAGAGACAGATGAACTGCAATCCTAAACATCAATGGAAAGATTTAAGTAAAACAATACCAATTGAATTAAAAACTTCACCCCATTACACAAGCAAATGGCTATCAGGATTCAATAGTTAAGTGGATAACGTGATGGTGTTTCAAGTGAACGGTACTGAGTTCCAGTCCTAGAGTGAACATCAACTCTGAGGTGCAGGTACATTCAGTTAACGAATCACAAATAGAACGAAATGCGCGTCAAACTGGATTCCACTGCTAGTTACTATCCATCTTTGCACACATCACAGCTCAGTTAACAGAATTCTCAGTGCATAGATTGCTATAAAAAGCTACTAAATAATACTAAAAATATTTTGTTGCTTAGCAAGAAAGCTAACCATTATTTACGAATAATAAATTTAGATCTCACTGACCTAATCATACATCTGTGTAGAGATTCGTGCAAACTGTTGTATAATATTGATATAATGAACTCACTTAAGTTAAATATCTATGGAAAACGAGATGTTTCCTCTTACTATATGATCCTTCATCGGTACATATCCATGACCCCACCATAGATAATAGAGCTCAAGATCTTCAATCTTACACGGAAGCACTTCATCTCTAAATCACTGAACCGGATTCTAACAGTGTATATATGTAACTCTATTCGAATCGTGATATTATACGATTATCTATCATCTCCAATGGATGACTGTCTGATAGCCAACACTAGATGGTGGTTGGAGGTAGTCAACAGGAAACCCTGGACTCGGGTTCGGCTCGGATAGCTCAGTGGTAACGTCTCTGACTGTGAAGCTGGGTGACACGATATTGAATCCGCCAGGGAGCACCAGTTCCCTCAAGATTACAGGTACACCTTGCTGACGAGTGCCAAGTAGCACGAAACCCGGGTCCAGGGTTTCCTGTTGACTACCTCCAACCACCATCTAATCTCAATACATAGTGGCCGCAGTGTCGAGTCACCTAGACTGGTGGCCACATTGCAACATGATCAATAGCATTCGATCTGCACTATTAAGGACTAGACAAGCATGCTATTGATCACCACCCAGTGATCAATCAATTGTGATAGCCAACACTTTTGGGTTCCGTCAGTCATGGAATCTTACTAGAATTCAATAATTAACTCTGGAAATTAATCACTAAAGAACTAAAGACAATCAGTCATTAGTACTGATTCAAAAATTTACCATAAAACACGGATATATGCATTAAGTCACTTCAGAAATGTAGTCATTGACAGTAAATTTTAATTATTTCTCCAATTAGATTATACAAATAAATTAATATTTAATTAAGAAGCTTTACATATTAAGGATTAATCAATAGTCATAAGCAACAATACTAAACAAATGTTTAGTACAAAAGATACTTTATGAATAAACTTTGATGAACACTGATGAGGAGTCTCATACTAGAACGAAACAGTCATTCAGAGCTACTAGATAATCCATGGTAGTCTAGGTTTAAATTACTCGTGAATTCAACTATTTAACCTTGAATTCAAGAGGTATATCCTGGAGTTCTAGTGAGAAGAAGCGACCAGTGGAGTTCAACCGGGTCAGTTGTGAGGTAGTAACTCACTCATGACAATGGTGGATGTGTCACTCAATTTCGTAAATTAGTTGAAGTTAGACATTAACACCGTTAGATGCCGACCAATTCAGTGGTCTAGTTGGTCAAGCGTCTCTCGCAAGACTGGTATGTCCTCAGTTTGAATCCTGCGAGACGGGGTCGTGTTTGCGCACTACGGAGGACGAAACGGCCGTCCTTTGCTTCTAGGTTTTCCATGGTGGTCTAGCTCCAATTGACTCATGATCTGAGCTGCTGAAATTATTGATATTACCTTACTTTAATAATGGTTACAGAATTCAGATCATTTCATAGGCTTAGTAATCACCGATCAAATATTTGATCTGATCTTTTGATTACATAATTGTTTCTCTTAGTTTATGTATGTTTAGATTTATTCTGTTTCTTCATTTTATGATTTCATTAAACACCTAAACTTATATAAGCTACCATTGTACATTGGTTATTTTAACAGTAAAAATTTTAACAGTTGAATTCATGAGTCAACTAATGCTAGACCACCATTGAAAGCCTAGAAGAACTGGACAGCCGTTTCGTCCTAGTGTGGGACTCCTCAGAAATGAGAAGCCGTGACCAGTGGAGTTCAAACAGGTCTGTTGTGAGATAGTAACTCACTGAACACAATGATGGACGGTCGCACAATACCGTGGATTGGTTGAAGATAGACATTCACACTGTTGGATGTCGTCTCAACGGTCTAGAGATTCAGTGTTCGTGCGCAAGGCCGATAGGTCATGGGTTCGAATCTTTTGGGACGAGATAGTGTATGTGCACTGCTGAGGAATTGGATACTAGGATGAAATGTCCCGTCGAGTGCTTCTGGGTTTTCTATGGTGATCTAGCTTTAATTGGCTCATGAATTCAGCTATTAAATTACTAAAACTATTCACAAAACCTCGTTTTGATACTAAACAGTTTCCCAATAATCTTAAATTCATATGATGTAATTTTAAACAATTTGATTATCTTAAACTTGGCTACTCATTTATACCAATTAGTTTTGATATATATTAATTGAAGCATCTGATGAAAACTTAAAGAATAACATTCTTTGTTCATTTATGTGTGTTGTGGTACTTTGTTTTAATAAATAACCTAAAATGATTGGAATCCTGTACCTAGTGAGAACCTTCATAAAACTATGAGTCAGTCAGTCAGCCATAACGCAAGACCAGGCACATATATGCATCGGTCCAAGTTGCTAAATCTTGATCATTAGCACAACATAACGAACACCGCATTCATAGAAGCAGTTAACTCAATGGTGTAATATATAAAGGGAAGATTGCATATAAGGATATAGTACAGGAAGAAAGAATTAGTTCGTAGAAAGAAAGATATGAAGCGATTTTAATCTCTTAGTTTAAAGGAAGACAGAGAGTGTATACACCGACGCCATTGTGATTGATTCTGAGCCACGTCACACACAGTCTCCAACCATTGATTACGATAGTCACGCGGACCCCAACCAAGTAATCTGTATCTACCAACATGGTTAAAACCAGAAGTCAGTGACTTTATGGACTGATGAAACGTTTTGGTTTTGCCGCCCCTAACTTTCTTCCACCATTCTCCAACGCTAGTCAGCATTGCACATCGTGGTACATGGTGTTCGGGAATACGCAATATGTGGCTCAACCATCTCATTCGATGAAGATTCACCACCTCATCAACTGATTTACTATCATTCCCTAATACCTTGCGTTTAACATCATTATTAATTACCCGGTGATCCCAGTAGATGCAAGCAAAACTGTGAACACTTCATATTAATAAAAAACAAGTCTGCAAAATACTTGAAATCCTATTTATTGACATTTTAATATATTGGCTTGATGTGGAATATAATTACACTGTGAAGCATGTTACTTTGTCTCGTTGATTTACAGTGGTTATTTGCATAATACATGAAAATGGCAATTCAATGAATGGGATTCTAATATCGGTAAGTTGATGTTTTATTTTATTTAAATGTCTTAAACCTAATTGAAATTTCATATGTTATCACTGAATTGATTAATACACTGATTACCAAGAAATAAGAAATTCATAACTTTTTTGATTGAGCTCATGAATCAAATGATGATAGACCACCATTGAAAATTTGGGAGCACTGGACGGCCAACTCGTCCTATTGTGGGACTTCTTAGCAGTGCGGATTCACGATCCCTCTTGCGGGATTTGAACCCTTGGTCTTTAGTCTCGCGCGCGAATGCTTAATATTTAAACTACTGAGACAGCATTCATCGGTGTTAATGTCTAACCTTAATCAATCCACGAAATTGCGCGACCATTTTCCATTATACTGAGGTAGATACCTGTCTTTACCGAACACAGATTGTTGTTTAAATATATGTAAAACATTTTCACAGTCGGACAATTGAAAACACAATTACCAGTATGAAGATTGTGATGATTGTTGAATTTTATTGAGATTATGAATTGATCTAACTTGGACAATTATTAAAAGCCTGAAAGTACTGGACAATGATTTTGTCTTAATATGAAACATTACAGCATTGCTCATCAACAACCCTATCACTTAGATCAGCCTCAATAAATGTTGGTTTTATGAACTCTAAGCTGATTTATTTGGTTGAACAAAGAAACGCAAAGGAATTCAATGAATTTCTAGAAATCTGACACCCTAATCAATCATCAATCAATATAAACATTAAAATCAAATAAACCTATAATGTAATAGGAATAATGATTTATTATTGTAAGGTCAGATCAGTTGAGATCAACTTTACAGTTATGAATAACAACCAACCATATTCTAAATGAATAGAACAAGCAACTATGAATTGTATCAAAGTGTTAATAGCTCATTTCTCTTTGAAATGCTTCCTGATAACACTGTTCAGAACGACAATGAAAATGTTACCCTTTAACTTATAAACCATACTTATTTACTTACTTACTTACTTACGCCTGTTACTTCTAATGGAGCATAGGCCGCCGACCAGCATTCTACAACCCACTCTGTCCTGGGTCTTTCTTTCTAGTTCCATCCAATTCTTGTTCATTTTTCTCATGTCTATCTCCATTTCCCGGAGTATTGTGTTCTCTGGTCTTCCTCTCCTTTTTGGCTTTGAGAATTCCATGTAAGGGCTTGCCTTGTGATGACGCAGCTGGGTGCTTTTCTCATTGTGTATCCTATCCGCTTCTTCCTGATTTCTTCTTCCTCCTCCTCTAAAAATCTCATTCTGAACGATAAATTTTCCGTATCATCTTAAAATTACATTGGACAACATAATCAATTCATTGATAAACTACCATGAACCGTAGTTTTTCTCACTTCTTATTTTGTTTATAAGTTTATAAGTAATAAAACACAATATCAACTTACTTGATATTGTTTGCTTGAATCTTACCATTGACATTTAAGACTGTAGTTGATCAATTTCTTTTTGGTATATTTGCATACTATGAGTATTGCTTTAAGATTGACTTAATTCAAAAGCATTCTAAGCAAAGATGAATAGTGGCTAGCAGTGGAATTCAGTTTAACACGCGTTTCGTCTTATTTGTAACTCATCAGCTGACTGTACCTGATTTAAACTTCATCACATTGCACAGGTTAATAGTTATCAGGATTCAGTAGCTAAGTGGATAAAGCGAATGTTACTTGATTCGAGTCTCAGAGTGAACATCAACTCTGAGATTCAGGTACATCTATCTAATGAGTCTCAAATACTTAATTTAGATTCCACTGCTAATCACTATCCATCTTTACGTAACAATCTAATTACAAAAGATGATAACTATCTATAAAAACATGATTATGTAACTTTATTGAAAGGATATGACATTGTAAACAATCCAAATATTTTCAACAGTTGAGATCATGAGTCAATTGAAGCTAGACCACCATGGAAAACCTGGAAGCACTGGAAGGACTATTCATCCTATTGTGGGACTCCTCAGCAGTGCGCAAACACGACCCCGTCTCGCGGAATTCTAACCGAGGACATATCAGTCTTGCGAGAGACGCTTGACCAACTACACCACTGAATTGGCCGGCATCTAACGGTGTTAATGTCTAACTTCAACTAATTCACGAAATTGAGTGACACATCCACCATTGTCATGAGTGAGTTACTACCTCACAACTGACCCGGTTGAACTCCACTGGTCGCTTCTTCTCACTAGAACTTCACGATATATCTCTTGAAGCCAGTCACTAGTGAGCATATGTTGTTTAGTATCAATAGGGGTTGAAATTACTATAATCTCCATAAAACCCCTTCTGATACTAATCCAAATATTGTTGACGTAACAATTTATCAATAAACTTCTCTTCATTGTCTAATTTCTTTTTGAAATCATCGTTGATGCATCAATAATTTATAATCCTTACGTAATTTATAACTTTAATTGAAGGAGAATCTTTATTTAAGTAGTATATGTATTGTTATTCAAATTCTGTTCTAAATAGTCTGCGCAAAAATTTCATTGATCGTTCTGCTTTAAAGATTTGCCTTGACATTATACCTAGTTTAGATTAGATAATAATAGAAAGAGGACACTAATTTTCTATCATGTGCTTACTAGTGACTGATTTCAAGATGAGTTTCTTGGAGTTCTAGTGAGAAGCCGTCATCCGTAGAGTTCAATCGTGTCTATTGTAGAGGCAGTTACTCAATGTGGATAGTAGTGGATAGTCACACAATATCGTGGATTGGTTGAAAGTAGACATTAACACCTCTGTGCGCTGGCTCATTCGACCGAAGGCCTTGGGTTTGAATGGTGTGTCTGAAATCGTGTGTGAGTTCCCTACTAAGATGAGACGGGCATCCAGTGCTTTTAGGTTTTCAATGGTGGTCTAACATTCATTTATTCATGATATCAATCTAAACTCAACAATCTCCACAACCCTATACTGATATTATTAAAAAATATGACTTTTCTAGACTGATATCAAAGACGTTACCGTAATAAAAGTTCTGAGTGATGAAATTAGGTATAAACCATACATTTACACTATAATATAGTATCATTGGCTAAAGAGGAGATTAGGAAGAGACGTTGGAAGTGGATAGGGCATACATTATGGAAATGATCAAACTGCATCACGAAGCAAGAAGTAACGTGGAATCCTGAAAGGTAACGGAAAAGAGGAAGACCAAAGAACACACTGCTTTGTGAATTGCAAGCAGACATGAAAAGGATGAATAGCAATTGGAAACAACTGGGAAGGATCGCTTGGGACAGAATTGGATAGAGAATGCTAGTGGGAGGTTCATGTTCCTTCATGAGGGATAACAGGAGTGTGTACAGTATCATTGAGGAAATCTGGAAAGAAACATCACTTTAAATTCAATTAAAGCTAAACTAGCATGGAAAACCTGAAAGCACTCAACTGTTATTTCATCCTAGTATGGGTTTGAATCTCATGAGCAAGATCTTGGATACAAACTGCTTAAAGAGTCCCATACTAGAATAAAACAAACATTTACTACTTTCGTAGTGATCTAACTTTAATCGAATCATCATTTTATGAAAATCACTTATCATATTTCTTGATCGTTACGTAATCTAATTTCTTATTAAACATATTTTGTTTTTTCAACGGTTAAGATCATTAGTCAGTTGAAGCTAGACCACCATGGAAAACCTGGAAGCACTGGACGGCCATTTCTTCTTATTGTGGGACTCCTCCGTTGGATGCCGGCTCAGTGGTCTAGTGGTTAAGTGCTCGCGCGCAAAACCAGTAGGTCCTGGTTTCGAATCTTCCAGGGGGCGAGGTCGTGGATGCGCACTACTGAGGAGTTCCATACTAGGACGAAACGGCCGTCCAGTGCTTCCAGGTTTTCTATGATGGTCTAGCTTTAACTGACTCATGATCTTATCCGTTGAAATTACTATAATATCCACAAAACCTATCTGATATTTTGTTTTTCTCATATTATTACATAATATCTAGTTTATTGTTAAAACATTTTTGGACAGTGATAGAAAATCATTGGAAATGTTTACTGTTAAGGTAAGCAATACCATGACTATAAAAACTAGTTTTTTTTTCTTTTAATGAGCAATGTTTTACATGGTGAGACTTATAATTTATGGACGACCTTTGAGAGATGCTTAAAAGAACTTGAGAATGTCCGTATACATACTACGGCTAAATGATGATTAGAAACCAAGGCGAAGAATTACCATTAATATTTACAGTTGATAGTTAGGATAAAGATTTAGATTTAAGGTTATCATCGTGAACTGATATCAGCTATACTGCTAAAACTCCATTTAATCAAATGTGTGAATTAAATTGGTGCCGAAATTCAAGACCTGTTATCGTAAATCTGATTGGTCTGTCCATAAATTATAGTCTCGCCTATATATATATATATATATATATATATATATATATATATATATATATATATAATATTTCAGGCTCAATATAGTCAAGAGAATAGAAATATCGTTAACCAGATATAAGACTTACTTACTTACGCCTGTTACTCCCAATAAATCATAGGCCACCGATCAGCATTCTACAACCCACTCTGTCCTGAGCCTTCCTTTACGGTTTTATCTAATTTTTGTTCATTCTTCTCGACGTAATGTGTTCTCGGGTCTTCCTCTCCTCCTTTGGCCTTGAGGATTCCATGTGAAAGCTTGTCTTGTAATGACGCAGTTGGGTGCTTTCCTTAATGTGTGTTCTATCCACTTCCATCATTTTTTCTTGATTTCTTCCTCCACTGGAATCTGATTTGTCCTCTTCTACAGTAGGTTGTTGCCGATAGTGTCTGGTCAACGGATCCGAAGTATTTCGCGTAGACAATTTTTAATAAACACCTCTATCTTCTGGATGATGACTTTCGTAGTTCTCCAAGTTTACACCCCATATAGTAGAACTGTCTTGTCATTTGTATTGAAAATGCTGAATTCGGTGTTGGTTGACAGAGATATAAAAGGTATTGATGATTAAACTAGTAGATGATCACTTAGCAAATATAGTAACTTGAAACATTTGCTCACAAGTGATTGCTTAACCTTAATGTAAGTACTGGATATTATATTGGATATTTGTAACTTGTGAAGACCAAACATATGGCTACTGAAATGGATTTTAGTGGCCCTATATCTGACTCCAATTACATTGGATGAATGATTGTTATTGAAATATACATGTCACCAATTCTTGTATATAATCATGGACTTAAATTGCATTAGTGTATAATGAAATTAAATAAGTCAAATACAAGAATGAATTACGAATACGTGTATTTCATACAATCGTTGATCCAGACAAACGGTCGAAGATACAAAGCGAAGTGAAAAAAGAGTCAGTTGAAATGACGTGCGGTGGAGAAGGCTTATGAGCCAACTCGATTTAACCAAGCCCTAATCAGTATTTATAGTCAGATAGAAATAAGCTGTGCACATACATACGCTGGTGGTCGGAGGTAGTCAACAGAAAACCCTGGACCCGTGTTTCGTGCTACTTGGCACCTGTAATCTTGAGGGAGCTGGTGCTCCCAACGTAGTGTACGCAATGTTTAGTCACCTAGACTATTGGTCACAATGCAACTTGGTCTTTAGCATTCGATCTGCTCTAAGAAGGATTCCATACACATGACATTGATCATCACTCAGTGATCAATCAATTGTGACATGCATACGCTCATATGAAAACAGTCAAGGCTGATAAGAGAATAATTAACAAGGTCAAGATGTAGCTTGAGAAGAATTGATAAATTGGTTTGACGAGAAGCTAGAATAAGTTATGCGGGCTTAACGTAGTAACCAACACTACAAATATTCAAAAGCAGATACCTAAATATATGTCAAAACTCTGGCTAGAAGAAAATTCATCCTATCACATTATCGGTTATACAGCTTTCAGACACATAGATCGTTTGCTGAAACATCTTTTACTGTGTTTTACTATACATCGATAACAGTGAAGTTATGATCAATGATGATGTATTTAATTTTTGTGTTTCCCTTCAGGATTCCAAGTTAGGGCTTGTCTCGTGATGCACTTTGATGATTTCCATAATGTGTACTTTGTCCAATTCCAACATCTTTTCGTAATTTCCTCCTCAGCTAGAAGCTGATTTGTCCTCTCCCGCAGAAGGCCGTTGCTGATGGTATCCGGCCAATGGATGTTGAGTATCTTGCGTAGACAACTATTTATAAATACTTATACCTTCTTGATGATGTTTGTAGTAGTTGTTATGCAAGTTTCAGCTCCGTCTTGACGTTGGTATTGAAGGTTGTGGCTTTTATGTTGGTTGACAGTTGTTTTTGGTTCCATATCTCCTTCAACTGTACGAATGTGATCCTTGTTTTGCCTTGTTCATTCATGATGATTCTTAAGTACGTGAAATATTCCATATCTTCCAGAGTTTCATTGTCAACTGTGATTGGGTTGGTGTTCTCCGTGTTGTATTTGCGGATCTTGATGTTTTCTTTATGTATACTGAGGCCTAATGATCTAGAGGCTGCTGTTACACTAGTTGTCTTCATCTGCATTTGTTCGTGTACGGGATAGAAGTGCCAACATAAATAAGCAGTTTAGAAATATTTGTTCAATTTGTAATTAAGAAGTCAATACACGTCTGGGAAATCTTGAAATTCTGCGATCAAATTCCTCAGGGAGGTACTTATCAATCAATTCTGAGACGTTTCAAACTTGAACGATACACTTGTTGATTACCATTTAGAACTTTTAATATTTGTCCACTGAGATTAATCTAAAAACATTGAAACAAAGGTCAATTATAATGTGATGTAATCCATAAAAGATGATACCGAATGTTATTACTTTAATTTATTTTTGATTTTGATTTTAGTTAAAGACACTCAATGAAGTAATCAAGAAGTATGTGATGAAATCATCAATGGAACTTCAATATAACTTACAAAATAATTATTCCATTCTTTTAGAAGGTAAGTATTAAGATAGAATATATATACGTTTGTTACTCCTCATGGAGGAGCATAGACCGCCCACCAACACTCTCTATTTAACCCTATCCCAAACAATCCTTTTCACTTCCAATTGATGTTACATACTACTTATATCGATATATATAAATAGCATACACCATAAATTACACTTTCTATCCCAACAAATGTTGGTTTTAAGATCATTGTAATATTGTAGGACTACTCAGAAGTGCGCATTCTAGATCTATTTCCTGGAGGAGTCCCACAATAGGACAAAACTATCGTCAAATGTTTCCAGTTTTTCAGCCGTGGTCTAACATCAACCGGTTCATGATTTTAATCAAAAAACTTAATAATCTCCACAACCCTTTACTGGTAATTGTAATAATTTTTATTATGGATTGACTTCAACTTAAAAATCATTCAAAATAAAAAGCATCTAGGTCCTTCCGGTAGGATCAGTAATCACTACTCATAACCATAACCATGTGAGACTTTCTTTTTTTTTAAAAAAACACAAAACTTTTAAGTTGCTTGACAGTTACGCTATATTTAAACAACCGAGTTCGGATTCAATAGTTTACATTTTAAACTTCGATTAGTTCATGGAATAGCGTAAGTACCATAGATTACCATTAATTATCTCATTTCTAACTGTAAAACATTCGTTTCATTAAAATGAACAGTGAGACTATAATATATGGACGAACCAATCAGGTATAAGATAACAGGTCTTGGATTTTGGCGCGAAGTTCACTCATCCATTTAGTTAAATAGAGTTTTGACATTATAACTGAAGTCAGTTCGTGATGGAAAAGCGTAAATGTAATACCTAACCTTAACCATCAATTGTAACTCATAATTCAAAATCTTCACACAGATTTATAATCCTTATTTAGTTCTAGGCTTCAGGTAGACACTCTGAAGGTCAGTCTAACGTCGTTCAAAAGTCGTCCATAAATTATAGTCCCACTCAATGAATTTTTTTTCATACAATCTATTATACATGTCATTTATAGAAGTAAAAATGTCTTTTTTTAGTATACATCATGTAAACCTCATGTGCGAAAGTCTTGAAACTTTAGTTGATTTATTGATTATCATTGATAGTGTTATATCCCTATAAGAATAATGAATGGTAACTGTTGGGATCTATTTATGGACCAATACTAGGCATATATTTTTATCGTATAATTGTTAATTAACTAAACTGTTCATATTCGTTTTCCGCTCATTATGAGGTTTATTTTCACCTATCAACCATTATTATACGATTTACCCTTCTTGAATTATGCCCAGTCTATTAATTACAGTCTCCCACATTCACAGTCACTTTTGGCTAATTGTTGTACAACTATTATTTCCTATTTTATTGGTATGATGTGGTCTATCTGGTCGGTATATAAACCTAGTATGTTTGAAATACATCGTTCATAATGCAGAGACTGAGATTGGTGTTCTGGACTTAACAGGAGGGACTAGACAGGAAGCAGGACCGATAGGTACTCTAGGCTGCTCGCACGTGTTTTATGCATCACTGGTTCGATCGATAGTTCATTGCTCTCTGATTGGCGGTATCGTTGCGTTATACAATAAACAGGGCACACAGGTTCACAAGTTAAAACAGATAGTTCAAGTGATATGTTATAGTTATAGTATAGATGCTGCTATTACGGTGAATCAAAAAAACATCTCACGAATTTCTCCTTAAAAAACTAATACATATTCATTTTAATAGTTGAATTCATGATTCAATTAAAGCTAGACCACCATGGAAAATCTAGAACCACTGGACGGCCATTTCGTCCTAATATGAGACTTCTCAGCAGTGCTCATCCAAAAGGTATTTCCTGGAGTTCTAGTGAGAAGACGTAATCAGTGGAGTTCAACCAGGTCTGTTGTGAGATAGTAAATTTCTAAAGATAATGATGGACAGTGCTGCAATTTCGTGGATTGGTTGAAATTAAACATTAACACCGTCGGATGCTGGTTCGATAAACTGGAAGATAAGTGTTCAGGCGCGAGACTGAAGGTTCTGGGTTCGAATCCCGCGAGTGAGCTCGTAGATGCGCATTGTTGAGGAGTCCTTTACTAGAACGAAACAGTCGTCCAGTGTTTCCAGGTTTACAACGGTGGTCTAGCTTTAATTGACTCTTGAGTTCAACTATTAAATTACTATAATATACACAAAACCCCTTCCTGACTATACATATTCAATAGAATCCTTGTTTACATCATCACAAACTTCCCATGATTAGATCTTTTTATTAGTTCTAGGATTTCGGTAAGGAATTTCTATTCGAATAATTCAATCCTCAATAAGCATTATTTTTTTCATTTACTTGTTATACATAGTATGTATTCATAATGAACGAGAACACACTTGGAGACAATCGAATGTATTCCACTACAAAATGACATAATATCTCGGTAAAATTTGACAATCATACAGTAAATACTTCATTTGCAAAATATCAATCAATCGTCTTAGATTTCATTGTTTCTTCGTTTCTACATCAATCAATTTCTGTATTCGTTCTCTTTCCTTCGATCTTCTTAACTTTCTACCACCAGATATTTCACTCTCGACTGGTGATTCATACTACTTACTTGGTAAAATAGAAAAAACATACTATAATACTTAATTTGCAAAATGTTCAATAATTGTCTTGAACTTCATTGTTCTTGCATTTCCATACTAATTGCTTTCTATTCCCGTTCTTCCTTTCTTGATCTTCTCCATCTTCTGCCGCCAGACATTACATTCCTGACTGGCGTCATATACTACTTATATCAATATAAGTAGCACTCACCACAATATCAGTCTTATTATTTTCAATGTATATCTTTCCTTAAGGTTATTTGTAGTTATTTATGATTTCTGGCAGCTTAAGAAAATGTTCAGTATTGTTTTTATCAATAAAAAGGGAAAATGTATTTTGTGGAGTGGGGGGGGCGCTGGGGGAATCTGATGAAGTCTGAGATGATTGATTAACATTTGTATTGTATCATTCTCAGATTTTACTAAGATGTTACGTAATCGACGTGTTCGATAACATTCGATTATCCCCATTTATGTTCTTGTTCATTATAACAATACCAGGCCAAAATGACAAACTGATTAATACTTACTTACTTACTTACGCCTGTTACTCCTCGTGAAGGAGCATAGGCCGCTCACCAGCATTCTCCATCCAACCCTGTCCTGGGCAATCCTTTCTAGCTCCGTCCAGTTGTAATTCATCCTTTTCATATCTGCTTCTATTATCCGACGCAATGTGTTCTTTGGCCTTCCTCTTTTTCGCTTCCCTTCAGGATTCCAAGTTAGGGCTTGCCTCGTGATGCAGTTTGACGATTTGCGTAATGTATGTCCTATCCATTTCCATCGTCTTTTCCTAATTTCTTCTTCAGCTGGAATTTTCATTGTTCATATTTTCATGTTCAACCTCTTATTGTCTCTAAAATATATATGTAATCGTGTTACAAAATAAAAATCCTATGGTATAACTTTGGTGTATACTACTGATGTCAATAAATATAAGTAGTATGTTTCATCAATCGAAAGTGAAATATCTAACAACAGATGGTTAAGAACTTCAATAAAAATTGAATGACTAGTGTGGAAATGAATGAACAATGAAGTTTGAGACAATTGATTAAGTGTAACAATTATAAACCAAGATTAATAGTCTCTAATAGTGGAATCCAGGATGTGCATTTCGTCTTATTTAGGTCTCATCAACTATATGTAACTGCGTCACAGAGTTGATGTTTACTTCGAGACTCTAACCCAATAAAATTTGCTTGAAATGTCATTGTTTCATCCGCTTAGCTACTGAGTCTTGATAACCACTTGATTATACAATGGGATGAAGTTTTAAATTCACTTGATATTGTTTGAGTCAAACGGTATTGGGTTCGAATCCTAAGGTGAACATCAACTCTGAGACTTAGGTACATCCAGTTGACGAGTCTCAAATATGATGTAACGCGCGTCGTAGATTCCACTGTTAACCACTATCCATCTTTGTTTATAATGCATGTAACTTCAGTCAATATCGAATTAATCCATACAGGATGTATATATGATCTACATAAATAACATGTTTATAACTAAATATCAATGGTGTTATTGTTTGTTTGTTTCCTTTTCATATTATTCTTTTATATTCATATTCACTCATGTATACATTGTTGGTTTTCTCCTTTTCTTATTAACATTACCACTTCTTAATGAGATCCACTTCATCATCATCATCATCATCCTTTCTTCTTCTTCCTTTCCTTCCTCTTCTTCTTCTTCTTTTTCTTCTCCTCCTTCATCTTCTTCCTCTTCCTGTTTACTTCACATCCGATGTAATTTGATATTTTACAGGAACCTTCTTTGTTAAAAGCTAAAAAGAAAAAAACGGGTTTAACAAGAACATTGTTCTTTCATTATTGTCTGTGTTGTTGCTGTTGTTGTTATTGCTGCTTCTGTGGACATAATCGTGAATATAAGTAGTAAAAGATGATAATTCATAAGAGAATACAGTTTTGTTATCATCATCATCATTGTTACTATTAACATAACATCACTGTTGATTAATTAACAAGAAGCACCTTGGATGGGTTATTAGACTTTGAGAAAATTGATTTACATAGTAATTTATTAGTAGATCATGTTTGTTTATTTTAATTAATTAACTGATTACGTATGGGAATTTGTGGATCAATCTAAGCTAGACCACGATAGAAAACTTGGAAATATTGGATAGCTGTTTTGTCATATTATGAGATTCCTCAACAGTGAGCATCCAAGATCCTACAAGTGGGATTCGATCCCATGATCTTGCATGATAACGCCTAACCTCTAGATCACTGAGTCGAAATTCAAATTTCTAACTTCAACTGATCCGTGATCTTGTGCAATCTTTCATCCATTGTCTCAGATGGATAACTGTCTCACACTCAACACGGATCAGACTCCATTGAACACAGCTTCTCATCAGAACTCCAAG